TGCAATACTTTGGGCAACTTCTTGTTGCCAATACAATAGTTTGCGCAACCTCCAGTTGTTAGCACTTAAATATGGTGAAGGCGTGCTGTCTAGAAGCTACAGTCATTACCCCAGTTCATAGGTGAGCACCAGGTCCTCAGCATCTATACATTATCACCTCCCTACTGGTGTACACAGGTCTGTTAATCATACGCCTGTTAGTTCTCATGTGTCTACTGTATTTGTAAGCATTTAAAGGTACATGGCTTGAGAATCCTTGATGGTACATTCTTTCCTTAAAACAAAAGATGTAAAGAGTGCTGCCGAGGTAAAAAATCTTCACCCTTTTGATCCTTTCTTGAACATGATTGGGCCATTACATCACTTTTTTACAGCAACATAAACAATCTTCCAAAGCAAAAAATGTGAATTAAGTAAAACTAGTAAAATAATTCACAAAAGTTTCTTCCTAAAATACTCTTCCACTCTTTAAATTAAACATTTCATCCTTATTGTTACAGTTTGAACCTTGTTTTCTGTGTTTTTCTGTTCTCCTGCCTTGTTTCAGTCCCTTGACCTAGTTTTCCTTAGTTCCCTTGATTAGCTCATTATGTTCACCTGTGTCCTGTTCATTACGTCATTAGTCCCTCATTTGCGTTTGTATAAAGTCTCCCCGTTCTGTTCCTTCAGTTGCCGGTTATTAGTTGTGTATGCTATCTTCATCATCTTGGATTACTATTAAATGTTATTTGTATTACCTTCGTCTTTGTGCGTCTCCCTTCAACAAGAGCGTGACACATATACCAACCTTTTGTGTATGACCTTCAATCAAAATCATTATTTGTAGTATGTTTTCAGTAAATATCAATTTGTCAGTTTTAGTGTGAGCTGATTCTGGCTACATATATAATCAGTCATTGTTTCAATCACAGAAAAACATGAATGCCCATAACTCAACTTTCATTAATTCAGTAAAACTGATATTGTTTTTCTAGATCAAAGAGATTCAGAGTGATGGAGCAGGTCTCTTTTCTTTTTCTGTTAGAATGAATTATTGAGAGTTACCTTCAATATTTTTAGAGATCTATTCAGAGCCTCTCTTAACTCTTCGCAGAGCTTAGTTTATACTTTTGGATTCATTAGCCTGTATTATATCCAATGTTTTTACAGTTTTACAGTTTTTTACAGAACAGTTTTTAAACCGGCAGATCAAACATTCATCTTAGTTTCAAATAAACTGCACCACTATAGACTTCTACCAGAAATGTGAAAAATATAACCCAATGTACACAGATGAGGCTTCGAAATACTGAAAAGCTAAAGCTAGATATGCATAAAGAGCTACTGCACTGAAAGACTCAGAAATCCAATAATAATTGGCCCTTTCAAGCATTTATTGACCTTAAACAAGTGCACAAAAAATCTGTCAGTTCTCAACACAAATGTGTAATGTGAACTTTCTTTACAAACAATACAATAGAGAGCATGTGACAGATGAATGATTATCTTACTGGAAATGAAAAAGGAAAGATGGAGGGACTTCTCTCTTAAAACGGGTTAAGAACAAACGTTTTTATGAATAATAGTAACATTAACACTCTTTAAGGATTACTGCAGTTGCTTGGAATCAATCAGTGTAACAAATGTACATGAGATACAAGAATGCGAATCAGAATACTGTAACAGTTGTATACACTGTAACTTAACACATATACTGAGCATAGCAGGTGAAACAAACCTTCAAACTGAGAGTATGGCACATCATTCATTAAATGTCACAAATCTTACTGACTTCGGGCCATATTTAGACGTCACGCCACTCGTGATCTGAAAGGTCCTGAATCAAGGTCAGGACTCTTGGGTTCACGTGAAGACGGGCTGTGTTTGTCTTCTCCACTTTGGTGCCCTTTTCTGGGTTGATGGAGAAAAAAACACCTTGGGAAATAAGAAAACACGTAATTGTATTGATCGGGAAAAAAAACAAGCTTCATTAAAAGCATAAACTTTTTTTTTTTTAATTCAAGCTATTAATAATTACTTTCTTGTCACTTAACAAATATTATTTACTAGGCGAGTACACCATGAATCCATCTCAAAAAGGTGTTTTTGTCTTATCCTGAATCCAAACGGTGAGCCTGTAAGTGTTTATATGGGGACTACTTTAGATCTGCTGTAGCCCAGGAACAGAGAGAAGTAGCCCTTACTACAGTGTTCTTCCACAAGAAGTTATTTAGTTATCAGTAGAGCCCCCAAAAAAAAAAAAACATGCATACATATATATGAAGACTTTAGATGCAAAACCCTCCAAGTCCGTCTGACATGTTTTCTTTTAAATGAGCATTTTTAAATCAGGCTCCTGTGTTTAGGTTCAGTAATTTCTCTTTAATGACAATAAAAAGGTTAGTAATCAGTTACTGAAATGCTTTATTTTCAATCATTTTCACTTTAGTAAATTCATGGGTATTTAACGAACTTTACTGTCTTTCAGTCCATGGTGCTTTTTGTTTTTTGGCAAAAACCTCTAAGTCCATCTCATTGAACAAGACGGTTGTAAAATCACTAAAGATGCAACTTGGAAACACTCAAAGCAGATTCAAACGACATGTCTACACTGAACGAGAACAGCAAAGCGCAAGACAAATTAAGACCATAAAACTCAAAATAAACAGTGATATATTGCATCCAAATGTGTGTGTGTGTGTGTGTGTGTGTGTGTGTGTG